ATGCCAAGTAAAAATGAAGTGGGTGGAGGGAAAAGAGCATCATAAATAATGAAAGATGCAATGAATCAGAGTCCTTAGGTAATCAAGATACTTAAGCCATAAAGATATCAAAAAGAAATAAGCTCTGTCTGTATCTCAGGACTACGTATCTCACAATTATATTGTTATCAAGAAAGAGCGTTCTGTACAAGTATCTGTGCAGAATTGCTACACTCTCAGTGTATGCCATGGTCCAATATTGTCTCCTAGCTCCAAAACTAATTATGTGCTAATATTTTCAGTGTTGTTGTGGGCTAGAAGGCTTAGTTAAATAATTGCTGGACTCCAGTGTATTTCTTACACTATTTTTCCCTAGCCCTTCCCCTCTCTTTGCTTCTTCAAGGCTAATGCATCAGATATTAAAAATACGACAAGTCTCAAATTCAGAGGAGTCTCTCTTTGCTAATATGATAGCAGGCAAATGTATGGGGGGAATAAACTGCACCATCAGCTTAGTATCTAACTCAGAAAATCCACCATCCTAGATACTAATTTTCATCCAAAAGCTTCGTGAACCTGCAGCAATATTAAAAAATGTATTTTTTTCCAATCTACTTGAAATTAAATCCTTTGCTTTTGCCGTAGAGCAGCAATTATCAAATTCCTATCTCCTGAATCACATTAATTTCGCTTACAATAGAGTCACCTTCTTCTGCTCCATTTGGCAAGTATTTACATCAGCCACAAATTCGAGTCCGATAAGCCTAGTGGTGAAGAGCTACATGCACTTTTCCCTCCAAATTAGATGCTAGGCAAGTTCCATCCAGAAAATTAGTCTTCAGTTTGGTCGGTAAGTCCCATTGGTCCTGGATTTTAGTTATACTAGGTACTTTAATCTTAGTGCGATACTGCATTATCTGTGATTGACGCTTCCAAGGCAGCGTTACAACTGTCTCGTGAGGGCTGCAGAGCTCTTCCTTAAAGCACGAACGGCCTTTACCCAACCTGCTGCAGACGCACTCGCTTCTCGACTGCTCCCAGCCCTTCTGAAAGCCTCTTGTGACTGTGACGCTGTTCGTGAGAACTGGATGGTCATCTGCGGTGAAGGTTTCTGGGGGGACACTTCTCTAAACGGGTCACACACATTTCTGCCAGGGGCTCAGAGAGGCAGGGAACCGGCGGCCGGGTTGGAGGAAAGGTGAAGTCAGTACCACATCCTCCCTGGGGAAAGAAAATATCCTTATGGCTTCTCCAAGACTGTCAGAAACGGTGTTTAAAAAAATGAGACTTGCTTGCAGGCAGGGGGTTAGCTATATATGCAGAATTGCTCAGCCCCCTGCTGCCAGGTGCCCCCTCCATCTGCTAGCGAGGGGCAGAGTGGTGCTCCAGTTCTCCCACCACAGCCTGGGGGCTGGAGGCATGGGAATATGTGTTTTTCAGGCAGGTTCCACTGAGGAAATGCTGGACTGGTATTTCAGAAGGGGCTACAGAGGTGCTGACGTTACCTAAGTGTAGCCAGCGCAGGATGCGCTGCGAGATGGGGGTAGGGAGTTACTTAAAACACCATGCTTGAGTAAATCTCTGGCCCTCTGTAGAGATTTCCAGCAGTGCAGTAACTCGCTGTCTGCAGCAGCAGCACTGAACCGCATTGGCTGGTCGCAGCTCCTTCACCTGGGGTGAAAGCAGTAACTACCTGGCAGCCACACAGAAGCCCAGGTAATAAAAGTGCTGAAGAACAGGCTCATTTCTTTTGCCTCATTTGAGTGGTTGAGAGCAGCTGTCCTTTGTGTCTCACTGGCTTCGAGCAGTAGGGAATATTTGCAAAGTCACCTTGAGCTACAGCTGAGCTCCCAAAATTTGGCCACGCACTTTCTGTTATGCTGACAATTGATGTGTGCAGCAGAGCAAAGGCTGCGGATCCATTACAGCTTGGCGAGTCCATTTAAACCATGAAGGGAGACATTGCTCTAAATCTGAGATGGATTTTGCTGAGTTTATTGTTTTTAATCCCTTCCATTAGGTACATGTTGATTATCACAAGTGACAGAATAGAGTTGGAGCCATGAATCCTAATTTATATAGAAGCACCCAGAACTTTAGCCTTTATTTCTCAAAAATGTTTATGCTGGAAACCCTGGTTTGCAGTAGAATATTTTTACCATTCGGAGAAGAAACACCCAGGTTTTGAACCTATGTTTTGGATCTGAACGGCAGCTAGGCACAGAGCAGCCTACAGCGACAGAGAGCGAGCCCGTCTGCCTGGCAGTGTCCATGAAAACCCTTTGTGGAGTTGGCACATGCAATGAGAGCTACATCTGGAAAGCACAGCACATGCTTGAGCAGAAAAGATCATCTGTACACGTGGAGATGTGGCCAGTAAAGCATCTTCGTAGGCTGCTGACTGTGGCGTTTTGCACGGCTCTTTGGGTGCTCTCTAGGAGAAGTGTTAAAATGTGGCTTTGAGGTTGACTAAGCTGGTTTCATACAAAGATAATGAGTTCTTTGCTACAAAGATCGCTTGTGTTCAATGTGATAATCCAAATCTGTGGCATGGTCCTGAACAGCTTTCTGCTGGAGCCATCCACAAACAATACTCTCAACAATTAATTCCTGGTGATGGCATGAAATCAGCCAGCCTTGCTTATCTGTATCTATAGCCATTTATTTCGTTATCCAACCCCATAATGACAACATAATCACCACAATTAATAGTACGCAAGTATCATTAGTACCATGAGATGATATAGTCCACAGCCTGGAAGCCAGCAGCACTTGGAGATATTCTTATGCTCATGTTAATTCTTAGCACTTCCTTTCTAAATTTGCATATGCTACAGAATTGCTTTTAATAGCAGGTATGCAGGGGAGGTCAAGACGCTTGGCAGGGCCCTATTATTAGAGGATTTTTTTGACAATATTTAACTCTTCCTTTGCATCTCAGTTCTGACTTCTCATCTCTCCCTTAGTTCTGGGCATACGTGGGCCATAATACTCTTTGTTCACATCAGTCACTTGATCCTTTCAGTTACTTTTGTGCTGTAGGAAGACACAAGATGGAAAAGCTTCACTTACTGTAACAATAAAGTAACATTTTATTGCTATGCTAGTAACATATTTGACAAGTTGCTTCCAAGTACAGCTTTGTGCTGCATCAGAAAAAAAATATTTCTTCTCCCTCCCCTGTTTTGAGCAACTGTCTGGTTCTGTATAGAACACAGACATTAATGTCTGTAGAAGAGAGCCCACAAGACAAATAAATGGCCACGTACACCGATTTAAAAATATACCTCTAGATTTGAGGCTGGCAGTATGTTAAATGAAAACAACTGTTTGTGTTGTTGAGCTGTGCTGTGTAATTAAAACTCCATTTCATTGCTTACCTGCACCTCATGCCTCTCATGCTCTCCCTCCATTATCAGCTACATGAATTATTGAAAAAAAAGAAAACAAGATTTTTTTTCTTTTTTTTTTTTTTTTTCTTCAAATGTGTCTGGTAAAACATATGTTCGCATTTAGGGCAAGAGTACCTTGTCCTCAGCCCCCTCAGCTGAACAGCTGTTCTCAAACAGATCCTTTCCAAAGTAAAATTTTACCATTAACCTGTCCCTAAGAAATGCTTGTTAGAAGAGAGTGTTTTTCCCCTCCAAAAATTAAAAAGCAGTGAAGAAAGTAGGATTTTACTTTGAAGTTATGAATTAAGAAAAACTTATTTGCAAACTAAACTTTAGTTGCAGCAATTAAGAAATCTAAAAAAAAAATCTTCCAAATAACTTCTAAATAAGTTTTCTTCAAAAAAGCTTGTAGAAAAGATGCACCACTGTACCCAGCAGAAATCTTTTTGAGCATTGGACTAGCGCTATCTGAAGAGAAATACTCTTTACAGATTTAATATCTCCTGCAGCATCTGGACTTGTCTGGGCATCCTTTTGGGCGCTGGGTTTGCCCCAGCTCCTGCTCAGTTGATGGGAACCCCTCCGCAGTCTTTCCTCGGAGCAGTCTCAGCCTTTTACCGAGTACTGAAGCAAACCCAGTCTCTCCCTCAGGCTGCAGATAAATGATTGCCTTGGTGAGCTCTCAGAGATTTCTGCCCACTGCAGATTTTGAGAACTGTGCTCTGAGGCTGTGCTCCTGCTGGTCTCACCTCTGGCAAGGAGAGGAGATGCATGCAACAAAATGCTGTTCACATTTTTAGCTGAGAGATTTTCTCTGCGAGACTCACAGCCCCAGGCCAGAGTCCTGAGGAATAACGAGTATTTTTGAACACTTACAGTTTGAAGAGTTACCAGTATCTGAAGCTTCACTGTAAAGAAACAGTGACAAATGTTAGTGCCTTGTAAAACACCAATCACATCTTGCTAATAACAAAGTAAGAGACGTGAATAGATCTGACCCCCTACTTGGAGATGAAGGACAGGCTTCTAGATTCTGCTTGGCTCTCCTTGAGACCGAAGCAGAGAAGCTCAGGGTCCTTAAATGAACAACCGTTGGAGAAATTCGCAGAGAACATTTTGTAAGTAAAGACATGGATTTACCTGTTCCACTTAATTTGGTTCGTGAGTTCACCTAAGAAAGATGGAGAAGAATGTTTTACAAATCTGGCAATGCATTCAAGTTTGGGACTTGGTACTGTGCCCCTGGATCTCATGGTCAGGGATAAACTAGGTGGGGATGGGGGTGGGCAAACGAAGAGGACGTTTTGTGAAAGCACGATTGAGCACTCTAAGACTCAGGAGGTAGGTGGGAGCAGGAAACCACATCGGACAGAGGAGAAGCTGGCCTTATGCTGGTGAGGAGCAGACCTTTTCCTTCTTAACCCCAGAAACAGTCTTTCTACCCCCTTCGCCCTCCCCTCTCCAACACCCCCAAGTTCCCATCCAAATCCTCATCAGCCCCTCAAGGCCACGCACACACCCCAGATAAAGGAGCTGGTGTTGGTGGCTGTTAAGCCCGGCTCGCTGAACCCCATGGCTTGCTGTTTTCCAGCCGGGCTCGGTGGCGCGTGGCCGGTGGGTCGGGGCAGGTCACTCACTCTGCACGCCTTTCTGCAGCGAGTCCAGGCGACCCACGAAGTCCAACGTCAGGCGTCGGTAACGGTCAATCCTGGCCTGATCCAGCTGCACTACCACCACGTCCATCCTGCTGACGCCGAAATTCTGACTCACAATCCTAGGGCGCAGGCGGTCATTTCACCAAGGAAAACCATTTAGCATTAGAAAAGTTAACAAACTCCATTCAGAAGGGCTCTACAAAGAGGAGGGTGCTTTGGCAACACGAAGTATTGGGTAAATAGCTCTCTGATAAGGTTAAGGGAGTTGGAATTGTTATATATTGTTATTTATTTGGCAATGCCTTTTGCTTACCAAACCTGGATGGGAACTTTCAAATGCTGAAAATGAGAAAGGGGGAAGCATTTTGCTAATACCCTTGTGCAAACAGTGCTTTGACCTGCTGCAGGCAAGCTCTCACTGTTCTAGCACAACTGCCGTTGTGATAGAAAGAAAATGCCAAACATATTAAATGGTGTCCAGGCTTCTGGAAAATGACTTTGATCCCACAGGCTAGATTTTGACTTGCGGCACAGCTGTGAGTAATGGACTGTGCAGCTGCCAGCACAGCCCCTAGGTACACGGTGATTCAAAGTTATCCTTACAATCCAAGTTCAAACTCAGCTTTAATTTGAACAAGTTGCAGAGATGACATCTTAAAATCCAGCTAGGTGTTTGAGCTAGCCCATCATGCGCTGGGGAGCTTAGTGCTGCAGCAAAATCTCCTGTGGATCTGTAACTTGCTGGTGGTTTTGCACCATTGAATTACAGCTGACACCCAGGCGTCAATTAGAAAGCGGTAAGTTATAAATTAAACGTATCACTTGCAAGAGAAGGGATAATGAATCTGGCTAGCTATAAAGCTTGTCCACAAGAAGCAGCAAAAACCGGTGGGAAATGAGCCAGTTACCTCTGCAGCCAAAGGCTGTTCACTGGGACTTACATGCAGGAGCGTCACCAACACGCATCCAAGAGAGTGTTGTGGTAAACTGAACCCTATGGGCTTCATCTCTGACAAAAATGTCTTTGTGGTAATAAAAGCCAGTGGTTTTCACCAGAATCCAGCAACTAGGTAGCTGCCAAGGAACTGAAACTTAAAGGGACCACTGGAACGGCAGGCAGGTCTCTCTCCATCCTTGTTAATTGTGTGGATATGGTGCCCTCTGGCTCGGCTGGAATAGGGAGCAGCTTTACACTATAGGGTGCTGGGAGAGAGGGGCACAGCCAGTGGGGTTTGAGCCCAATTATCAACACCATACTTTTTTCAAAGAAGAAAGCAAGTGTTTTCAGCTGGAACATACCTGTCCGTGGCCAGTTTAAATTCCTACAAATAGAATTGCCAAAAAAATAAAATAAAAAAAAAGAAAGAGAAAAAAAATTGTTAGTGTGATTTCCAGAAAGGGCAGCTGGCTGAGAAACAGGCATGTTAATGAGGAAAAGCAGAGTACCGCTGCTTACTTTGAGGAAGAGGAAAATATCTTGTTGCTCTCTCATCTTCTGCAAAGCCTGAAGATGCTGCGCAGCCTCATCTCTCCTCTGTTCCATTTCCTTCTTCACTTTGGTAATGACCGCCAGCTGCTTTTTCTCATTGGATTGAATGTCATTCAGGATCTTCTTCTCTTTCTGAATCACCTCTATCTTCATCTCTTCAAACAGCTTTTGCAGCTGAGAAGTCACTGTTTTCATATTGGTCTAAAGGAACAGATAAGAAAATGGGGCACTGGCTCAGGAACGCAACAATTCAGCTTAGTATCTCTGTTTATTAATTAGGGTTGTATCTATCCTTTGCACTGGCTTTAGAAGGAAGAGGACAATACGCATTTGCTTAGAATATCTGATTAAACAGAGAGTTATGAAAATTAATCTTGAGATAGTTACAAAATCAGACAAAATTCAGCTAGCAATGTGAGAACTGTTATCAGTACATACTGAAAATCCCAAATGTAGATTCAATTTGTTTTTCTTTTATTTAACAGATAGAAAACTTTAAAAATACATAATGATATGTACAATCTGTGGTCTGCCGGTCCTGCAACCTGCTCTGCGTAACCACCATAAATGATGGAATCTCCCAGCCAGTTCCTCCTTATGGAGCTATGCTGGGAGGCTATGAGAAGGCTTTGGCTTCTGGCAGTTTCTTATGCCAGTATTTTCCCTACTTTGGAATATATCTCTTTCTATTCATCTGCTTCCAAAAGTATAATTGCCATCACTTATTTCTGGGGAAATTGTGGAGGAAAGCTGCTCTGAATTAGCAATGATCTGGGTACCAACCTTGAGCTGATTCTCGCTTTTCTGAAGCTCTTCTAGGGCGGTAGCTAAAGCATTTTTACGTTCCTGCAGCCACGCCACCATGTCCGAGAGTTCACTCTAGCAGAAGGAAAGACGACATTGAACGCGAGAGCAGGGAAGCAGCACGGGTAGCTTTAAACCAGACTGGCAGTTTGTGGAGCTGGTGAAATGGCACGGGTGCCTTCTACCTATCTGCTTTCACCAGTGAGTCCTATAATAAACTGCATTCACTTGCCTCCTCATAAAGATAGGGCATAACGGAAAAGAGATGCAATCTTTCAAGTCAATGTTTAATTTTTATATATGGGTAACTTTGTATGTGGTAGGTTAATAAACAACTTTCCCTTTGAATAAGTAAATTTCACTTTAAATGAATAAATCTCACTTTATCGGTTAAAGCTCTGCTCCTGCCAGAATCTTCACGTGTACCTAATGTGATCCAAATCCTTAGTTTTCCCATCTGTCAGCAGCTGTGGGATCTGAGGATAAGGTAATAAGCAACCATCTTTTCCGAAGATCAGGGAAACAGTGGTACTTACTCACCCAGCTGTTTATTTTAACAGATACCACGATCATTGAGTGCTGCTATACTGCACAGTAACACATTTCAGAGGGGACATTAAACCTCGTTCTTCAGGGATTAGACAGTCTCTGAATGGTTCTGGTTGCTCCTGGCTGCCTCCAGCAGTGTTTGCACACCTCGAGCACCCATGAATGGCCACAACAGGCACAGCTGCCAGATTTCTGTTTCTTTAATAAAAATGATGCCAGAAAGCTTAGGTTTTCCATGAGATATTTGTCACAGCTGCAAAGCTTTCATTTTTGAAAAATTACAAGACAAATAATCAAATTTGACTGAGGTTCCTTGCACCAAAACCCTTTTATAATTCCTCCTGGAGAGCTGCATTCCTGGCTATATTGAGGAGTTTAAAAAAAACCAAACCAAAACCAAGAGGAATATGCAGCTGAGATCTCAATTTACCTATGGAGATGGCTTCCCCATAGATAGGGCAGTGTCCTCCCCAGCTCCTTCACCAGCTCCAGGGGTGAAGGAAATGGCTCCTGTCCTACACAGCCCACTTCTGTTTGGCAGCCCTGAATTTTTTATAGGTAACTTGGGAGAGAAAGTTAGTTTTGTGATACGTATAGCTGCAAAAAGACACTTCCTGCTAACTCCTGAGGAGGCTGTGACCTGTCCTGAGGTCCAGAGTGAGCGAGACGTTGTCTGCCCACGCATGGGCTTGCCGCAGGGTGTTCTGCTCGGGCTCTGAATTGAGCCCAGAAATTTCAAAGGCAAGGCAGCAAGCGGGCATAGCAAAAGCATTTTACCCACTCAGTCTCAGCTGGTTCTGGAGCATTTCAAGGACAGCAGCTGGACCCAAAAGCAGGGACGTGGAGGCCCCGCGTCTCTGCGCCCATTGGGACGCTGGCTCACAAACCTTAGGGCAGAGGGAGGAGGGAGCCAGAGGGAAGGGCCTCAGGTGGGAAAACCTGTTTCCCAACCCAAAGTTCAGCAGTAGCAGCGTCCGGAGGCTCTGTGGAGGAAGAGACTTTTTAATCCCTGCAGGAATACTTCTTAATCCTGGCCAGGAACATGCTGGTGAGTGGCAGCTGGAGTTGCCCGGGGCTGCACAGGAGGGCCATGGGCACGCAGGTCGGTGGCATGGGCTCACTCCTCCGCACGGCGACACGCAGAGCGGGACCGACCCACCCTTGTCCCGCTCAGCCCCAGAGGCCTCTCTCCGCTCCCCTCCCTGCTCAGCCTGCCAGGCTGCTTGGGCAACACACAGGAGGAAATGAAAAGCAAATTCCAGCACAGTGCACCAGTCCTCGCCGGGGCGGACATGAAGTCCCCCGAGCTGCAGCCTGCCTGCACTCAGCCCCCCGTCCCCGGTGAAGGCCTCACGGCCCCTCCGGCAGCACAGAACCATAGAATCGTCTAGGTTGGAAAGGACCTTTAAGACCGAGCACAAGCATCAACCTGACACTGCCGAAATCACCACTAAACCACGTCCCTCAGCACCACGTCTGCCCGTCTTTTGAATACCTCCAGGGATGGCAGCTCCACCACTTCCCTGTGCAGCCCGTTCCAATGTTTGATAACCATTTTGGTGAAGAAATTTTTCCTAATATCCAATCTAAACCTCCCCTGGCATAACTTGAGGCCATTTCCTCTTGTCCTATCGCTTGTTGCTTCGGAGAAGAGACTGACTTTCACCTGGCTACAGCCTCCCTTCAGGTAGTTGTAGAGAGCGATAAGGTCTCCCCTGTTAAGGGGACCTCCTGAGGTCTCTGCTCTTCCTACAGGTCAGGAGTTTGGAGCAAACCCTGCAGGGGCCACGGAGAGAGGAGAGCCCCTTACCAGCTGTTTGTCATGTCCCTCCTTCAGGGTGACGATGCTGTGGCCCTTGTGGCAGCCCGCAACGGAGCAGAGCATGCAGACGTACTGCCCCTCGTCCTGGCAGTAGCACTCCAGCAGCCTGCCGTGCTCCGGGCACCTCCTGTCCTCCACCGCACTGCCGGCGCCCACCTCCACCAGGATGTGGTCCTGCTGGGAAGCCTTGGCGTTGTGTTTGTTCAGATGCGCCTGGCAAAAAGACGCATCGCAGATCAGGCAGGTTTTCACCGCTGGCTGGGGCCAATCCAGGCAGAAGTCACAGGGAACCGCCTCCTTCTTCCTCTCTGCAGAGCCTTTGCTCTGTTGTTGTTTTGAAGAGGTGGCCAGGAATACCTCCACGATACTGCACAGCTGGAAATTCTTCTGCAGCTCCAGGATGGGCCCCAGCTGGAGCTTGCACATGGGGCAGGAGTAAGGGGCCTTGGATTGCTGCTGGGCACCGAGTGCCTTCTGGATGCACTGCTTGCAGAAGCTGTGACCGCAGCTCAGCGACACCGGGTCCCTGTACAGGCACAGGCAGATGGGACAGCTGAGTTCATCCTCCAGGCTGGCACCCCCTCCAAATTCTTCCTTAGCTTTTGCCATGGCTGCAGGAACGGCACGTTAGCCAGTTTGCGAGAAACGAAACTGAAAGGACGTCGTTGGCATTGTGCCCCGGCTGGAGATCCAGCCCAGAGGCTGCAAGTCCCTCCTCTCCGCCCTCTGGCAGGACAGCAGAGACACGCTCCCCATCCCTGCAAACAGCTCTTGTCAGCTGTGACAGATGGCAGCCACTTTAGACATTTGCCCTCTGTCTCAGGCAGCATCGCTCTGTGTGTGAGCCCCCAGCAGGCGGGTGGGAACAGGGGGTGCTGGGGAGGGCACGAGGTGGATGTTTCACCTACAGCTCTCTGCCCTCCCAGAAAAATCCTCCAACCCACACCAGAGGCAGAAAATTAAAGATAAACCCTGGATGAGAAGAGTACGAGCCTGGCTGTGGTAAGCCAGGAGTTCCCTCTGCTTTGCCTGGTTCTTCTCCACAACAGTTACAGATGCGTCCCTGAGGGTAAAATAGGGAAAACACAGGGGAAAGTTTTACTGGGACTTGTTGAGGCTGGTCTCCTACCTGCAGCCAGCTGACAGGGAAACGGGGGCTGGTAAAGGCTCCCGGAAAGGCACTCTAGGATAGGAATATCCCTGTACTGTGCCACGAGCCTTGCTTACTTCCTTTTGTCCCCCGAGACCAGGCAGAGCAGCAACCACCGCAGGTGCAGTTAGGAGATCCACCTCTACCTGTGTGGTTTCCCATATCATTTTGGTGTATAAAAGGCAAAAGACAAAACACAGCCACTTTCTTCTATGACTGAACAAGGATTTCTTTTAGCATATGGAAAACTGTAGTGTCCATCGAGGTCCTTCACTGTCCCTGCTGGGGCAGAGAGCTCCTGCCTGGACTTCTTCGTGCAGACACGCTGTCTCTGTCTGACGGTAGCAGAACCACAGGCAGAAGGCAGGAATATCATCTCTTCCTCTCCAAGGTCTTTGGGCAATCATAAGAACAAACTAATCCAGGCCCCATTATGGCAGAGACTAAAGGCACGGGAGCTTTCCTCTGTTTTACTCCCTTTGCTGTGAGATTTTTGCATAGGTGAGGAGAAAATTAAAATCGGGGCTGGAAGTAGGTAAGTGATCAGCAGGCTCGCAAGGGACGACAGCAGCAGAGAGCGAGGGAAACCAGGTGTCTTACCGCCTAGTCTCTACTCTCCTCCCAGGCCAGCTTGGCTTCCGCAATGGATGGCTTATGTTGTGCAGGATGAGCAGAGGTAAAAAAACGATGCCTTAGAGCAAAGGTCAGCGTTGCTGCTGCTTAGTTCTGTAGCAGCTCATGTGCCGTCAGCATTTTTATAAACTAAACTGCCATTGAGTTTTGCAATCTAAATTACTTTAATAACATGCAGCCAACACAGCATTTGATACAGCCGAGCAAAAAAGCGCAACTTAATGGTATTTCCAGTGTGATTAACAGAACAAATGAGATTGGAGCCCTTGCAGTAAGCGGCAGGGCACTGTGATACACCCCACAGACACCTTGCCCTCATGCTGATGAGCTGTCACAGCAGCCCAAAATCCAATTTCTAATATGCCAGCTTAGCACAGCCTCCACGCAATAGCAGTCCCAATACCTGTGCCTGGAAATACTAAACAGCACCTTGTCTCCACATCACTACAGGAGCTTCAAAGAGCCGTCAGACACGCCAAAAGTAGCACGGACAGGATAGTTCGAAGGGATGCTCACTGTCTCTATAAGCCTGAAGCTCTCAGCAGGATCTCCATCCTTGACAGATGCATCATAAAATGACAGTGTATTTCTTCTGCAATCGAGCTCTACCCTGACCACTGTGAGGGCTGTAGGAGACTCCTTTCTTGTGATCTCTGTTTCAGCTAGGAACACACAGAGGTAATCACAAGACTTTTCCAGGTAGCACTTAAATTCGTCACGAATGATTCCAAGCTGCCAGCATCTTGCATTGCTGGTGTCCACCTCCCAGAAGTGACAGCCCTCTGAGAAGCTCTGCTCACTCTGCTCACTCTGCTTGTGTGTGCGCTCTGCACTGGTGCTTTGGAAATTTAGTGTCGCAGTACCGAAAAGACTCAGTGGCTGTGCAGAGTTGCATCGGATGGTACTGATGCTTTCGACATTTTGTAGCCCAAAACTGAACCCAGTGCATGGCTGTGGATAGTGGTGTTCGGAGGCACTGGTGCTTCTGGAATTTGTTTTCCTAGATTGGGAAGGTTGGGGTGCAGACACTACCTTGTTATTCTGAATAAAACCATGCACTGGAACAGTCAGATGTTCATGAACTATAGAAAAAAAACCAAAAAACAAACACATTATGATTAACAGATAATTGCATCCCCAATGCTGATGAAAGCTAGATTTCCCAATCCAAGTCATCCAAGTCAATCCAAGTCATCCAAGTCAAGTCCAACCCACCCAAGTCATTAAAAGCATACGTTAACTGAAACATCTTCTGCACCTCTTAGCTTCTCCTATGTAACTCTAAAGGGGGTTGATATCACATCTCAAGAAATGCTGATCTTTCACAATCTTAAAGTGTCTTTTTCCTTTTGTTTCCAACTACAGCAACTCTTAGATTTTAGTTTATCATTGTTGTCCTGCAGAGCTCCACTAGGCATTTTTAAAAACTTCCCAGATTTAACATCCATGGACAAGAAATGCGGGAAGAGTAGCACAGCCATTTTATAAAGGCTTCTTTGCTTAGGATCAAAGTCATTTTCTAGAACTCTTGGAATTTCTTAGCATAGCCATTCACAAGAAGATAATTCTACACTCGGGAATTCGCAGAATGTTTTTAGTCAAACCTTCTCGGGCAGGTAATGCATTTCAATATTGTGGCATTTTCTGCTCTGGAAGTTACTCCTTCAGGAAACTGAAACACTGGCAGTGACTTGGCCAAGTAACCAAAATTGCTCAGACGGCATAGACAATTAGGAAAACATGCATCTGAGGCTTTCTAGCCAGAAGAGGTCTGCAGTATGCCTACAGAGACTGAGCTCAGGAGGGGCCGTGAGCATGGTGTGCTTCTTAGTGTACCCAAGGCTGTATGGATGGTGGCCAAATCGGTACGCACGTCGCACGCACTGTGGATGGAGCCTTCCTGCCCCAGCTGTCTCTCCATCTTGATCCTAGGCTCACTGTCAGCAAGGGCTCGAGTGCTATCAAGACAACAATAACAATGGAACCCTAATTTTTTCAGTTCAGTTGGACAAGCATCCCACCGTGCACAGCACCTGGACTGTAGGCTGATCTTACAAAATATCTCCGCTCTTCTGTAAAGAGTAGAATTATTTACTTAGAAAGAGTAGATTACTGACATCCTAAGGCAAACTCCACCTGCCACTGCTGGGATAAGTTCTCAACTTTACCTGTGCTTTGAATCAAAGTGATGCTACAGACAGAAAAGGTGTTGCTATTCTCTTCTCTTAAGCCTCCTAGAAAATTCCCAGGACATCCAAACCTCTTTAACCCAGAGCCTATTTTAACAGGCATGTCCCAGAGTGCAGAAGCCCAGGACAAGCACCCTTTTACGTACACATATGTGAAAATAATCATACAATGTTAGTGATCAGTTCTTCTAGAGGTACTTGGTGTACTTGGTGTCTTATTACAATCCTTTCTTAAATATGTTTTGTTAGCTTCTCCATCTTGCTTGTCGTGTAGTGAAATGATCACTTACCAGGTGGTGCTTTAAATAAGGCCTGCATGTCAGAGAGGAATTGCCGGAAAAGCCTTAGAGTAGTGTCTCTTGTTATTTTGTCCAAAATAATGGGTGGCGTTGGCAGTATTACAGCGGCTTTGTTAGGAACTGGTATGTGCTCCCTAAAACATACAGAAAGACATCAGAAAAGCAGCAAGTAATCAGAAAACCATCCCTGAGCCAACGACTGCATTCCCCACTGCCCACCCAGGGACCTAAATATTCAGGAATTGCCCTCAGGGCAGGGGACAGGAAAATAAGCCACATTGTCTATGAAGAGTCACACATGACCTCTGTTACTATTCTGGGGCTTCTCCAGGTCCTCGCCGAAGCCAGGCTCAGAGCATGCCGCAGCGTGCCCGAGGGGCAGCCAGGGTGAGCCCCGGGAGCTGTGGGCCCGCAGCGCGGGCAGGCTGGGCAAGCAACACTCACTGCTGGACTACCAGTCACCTGAAGCAACATGAAATGCAATGGTAGACCACCTCAGGAAGAGTTTACCTGGCTGGAATCGCTGCAAAAGCCTGTAAAAGACATTTTGAAAGCAGAATTAACATAGCGCAGGCAAAGGCCAGCCCAAGAGCTGAGGATCTCTGGGAAAGGAGAAGCTGTTGAGTACCTTGGTGAAAAGGAGCAGGTCTTTCTGATCTCTCAGAGCCTTTAGCTTCTGTACATCACAGCTGGCTGCATCCTTTTTCTCTCTGTGGTTTTGTATCTGCGTCTGAATCCGAGAAAGCTGTTGCTCCTCATTGTGACTGAGAACTTTCAGGACCTCTCCTTTTTTGTCATCTAGCTGCAGACACATGGCTTCGAAGAGGGTCTCCAGCTGATTCCTCCTTAAGCTCTCCTTAGTCTATTAAGAAAACACTTTCAAAGCTGTTAGGGAGTGCATCTTACATCTTCCACGCTAACTCTCACTCACTAAAGAGCTTGGTCTTTTTCGGGCTGAGAGAAGTAACTCCTAACTTAGTGCCTCTCCATTTGACAACAAACCAAGATGTCCCACTGGCAGCAGAAAGGCCAAGTGACATAAGTGGCCTTCCCCAACGTCTGGCACCTGACCAGAAAAAAAATGCAAAGGTAGTTCTTCTTGCACAAATGCTTGCTGAAGACTTTCCACTATGCATATATTTCCTTATTCTGCACTAGTATTTTTCTACAGATACGTTGCCTTTCATCTTTTTAAAAGGATGGGTGAAAAAAACCAGTTTCACTGCTTCCTGCCTCCACCAAGCTTCCTTCACTGTTTGAAAGCAGCCACACTGCCCGACAGGACACTGCCAACAGGTCCACCGTTGTCTTCAGACTAGAAGGGAACATTTCCTTTGC